TCACTGTATAATACTGGGGTACAGTACTGGTGGGGGCAGGTCTGTCATTGTATAATACTGGGTTACAGTACTGGTGGGGGCAAGTCTGTCACTGTACAACAGTGGGGTATAGTACTGGTGGAGGCAGGTCTGTCACTGTGTAACAATGGGTTACAGTACTGGTGGGGACAGGTGTGTCAAGGTAACCAACTTTGTCTGGAAAGGAGAGGGAGATGGACAGTGAGAGAGGCAGAGACAGGGGTGTACTGTAACAGAAAGATAGGGAAATTTTGGGTGTGAGGAAACTGGTGAAATGTATGCAAGCAGCAGAAAGCAGATGGTGAAAGGAAGATTGACTGAAAGAGAAGAGCAAGAAGAGTCAGAGGAGTGAGTGAGTGTTGGAAAAAGGGAAAGAGATGGAAAGCTGAGAGGCAGTGAAAAAGAGAGAGGTAGGTAATCTGAAGTAGGTATTGTGTTATGATACTTTATTCCCATTTCTAAGTAATTAGAATGACCGAGGTCCCTTCAATTTACAGACAAGAGCCTAGCCCTGAGCCTGTGGAAGGAGTTTGAGAATAATGACAGATTAATAAGCAGGTATTGAGATGGCAAACTGTTGATTATCCAGAGGCAGCTTGGCCTCAGGAAGGACAGACCAGTTCTGCTGTCAGTACTGGGGTAAGGAGGTGGGATGGATGAGGGTAAGGCAGCAGATGCAATCAGCTGGGTTTCAGCAAGGGATTAGATAGAGTGCCACACTATTAGAGCACATGACCAATAGAGTTTTGCGAGACAAGGGCGTGAAGGGACAAAGTGGGTGGATAGGGCCACTTTGCAGCATGGTATCATTAAATGTTGAAACAGGCTTCATGGGATGAATGTCCTCCTTCTGTTCCTTTGTAGAGGATGGTGTGTGGGGAGGTGTCAGTTGGTAATTGATCACCACTTGGAGGGTCCCTGGGCTGGCTGCTGCTTAGAATTCATGTAATGTGACCAAGAGGTTGAAATACCTTCCTCTGATTGTAGGTGGCTCCAATTTGGGTGCACGCCCTCAGGATTCTTCATAGTATTTATAGCTCTGGAGAATTTGGACCCAGGAACATTGTGGTCTCAAAGAAAAAAGAACAGAATTTAAATTTTCCAAAAGAAAATAAGGAATTATTTTAATTACAGGATTTTGGTTAGCATTTTGTCACAGTCTACTAAATTTCTCCTGCCACTATAAAGCTGAAAAGATTTATGTGTGCAAATTTTCAGGCATCTCTGCCCCTGCACTCCCTTTCAAATGGTACCATTTAGTTTCAGTTGCACTGATGTGAATCTAGCTGGAATGCAGCATTAACTGAGAATCATTTACTTTTATACAGGCAAGATAAAACAAGGTGGTGTTGACTTCCACAGTCAAAATACTGAAATGAAGCCTGAGCAGCAAGTGAGAGCACATCACTTATCCCCATTGTTTACATTTGTTGAGTCTTTTCTATTTTGTTTCATTACATTATTTTCATCAGATTCTAAGCCTTAAAAATGTTAACCTCCAGCTGGAGGGAACTGGAATGCAATAGAGTGAAGGATAGGCGATGTTCGTTTTTTAAAACTCTATTAGTCTCCCGAAATATTAGAAATAATGGCTGTAGAAGGGATGAGTCAAGAATTACCAGAGTGATGCTGGGGCTAAAGGGCATTTATTAGGAGTTCAAACGCTATTGAGGCTGGGCTTTAATTGTGAAAACCAAGACCATCTTAGTGTGCGACTACTGCTCAATAGAGGAGAACATCTGGGATAGGCTGCAGTTGGTAAACATTCCCTTCATGTCTCACAGACTTTTTTTCTCTTTAACAGACTCTGGGCAGGTACAAAATGGAGGTCAACCAGGGGGCAATGCTATCATATTTTACAGCAGCAACTTCAAAGCAATGCCAGAACACCAAAGAACGCTAGCAGATGCAGGTAATTATTGGAATCATTGACCTGTGCCTACACCTTTCCAGCTCTATCCCTAGTAGTGACACTTGAATTTGTATCATAATCAACCCAACTTGTGTTTCCACAGAGTGGCTCATCAGTGTCTTCAGTTGCCATTGGTTTGAGGTGACTATTCAAGAACATCTCAGCTGCAGAGATGAGCAACACAACGAATCATTACCGGGAAATGGATCACAGGCTGTACGATTGCTTTGTTTGTCGTACTCTGACCCAATGACAGAAAGGCAAGGTATGTGGCACCAATGGTCAGAATGTTGGCTTTACCACAAATTCACAATGCCAAACTGTCTGGCAGATACTGAAGCTCTTGTTCATTCAGACAAGCCAGAGAACCAAGAGCCAGGACAGTATTGGATTAAACTGACTAAAACAAGGAGTGATCTGGAGGAGGGTAGTGAGATTAATTTAGAAATGGGTATAGATTCTAATAGAGAAATTAAAATAAGCCTGAATATGGATTATAATATGGGGATTAAGATAGAACATGATACTGTTTCTAAATGGGCGATCAAAATATTTAAGTATATAGATTCTAAAAAGGAAATAAATGTAGAGAAGGACAAAGGTTCTAAATGGGAGATCAAAATAGAAAAATATATAAATTTCAAAAGGGACATAAAGATAGAGAAGGATATAGATTCTAAAACAATCAATGATGAGGATGTGGATTCAAATAGACAAATAATGATACAGCTGTATATGGATTCTTCTAAGGGGATTCAGATAGAACATAATGTAGATTCTAAATGGGAGGTCAAAATAGATATACACATAAACTTTAAAAAGGACATAAAGATAGAGAATGATATAGATTCTAAAATGATCAAGAGTGACAAAGGTGTGAATTCTAATCGAGAAATTAAAATACAGCCCAATATGGATTCTAATAGGGGGATTATGTTAGAACAGAATATAGATTCTAAATGGGAGATCAAAATAAAAAAGTATATAGATTCTAAAATGGAAATAAAGATAGAAAGGGGTATAGATTCTAAAACAATCAGGATTGACAAGGATGTGGATTCTAACGGAGAAATTAAGATAGGGCTGAATACAGATTCTAATAGGAGGATTCAGATAAAACAGAATATAGATTCTAAATGGGAGATCAAAATAGAAACGTATATAGATTCTAAAAGGGACATAAAGACAGAGAAGGATATAGATTCTATAACGATCAGGATTGACAAGGATGTGGATTCTAATGGAGAAATTAAGAAAGGGCTGAATATAAATTCTAACGGGAGATTCAGATAAAACAGAATATAGATTCTAAATGGGAGATCAAAATAGAAACGTATATAGATTCTAAAAAGAACATAAAGGTAGATAAGGATATAGATTCTAAAATGAACAGGATTGACAAGGATGTGGATTCTAACAGAGAAATTACAATACGACTGAATATGCATTCTAATAGGGGGATTCAGATAGAACATAACATAGCTTCTAAATGGGAGGTCAAAGTTGATATGTACATAAACTTTAAAAAGGGCATAAAGGTAGAGAATGATATAGATTCTGAAATGATCAGGAGTGACAAAGGTGTGAATTCTAATCGAGAAATTAAGATATCGCTCATAATGGATTCTAATAGGGGGTTTAAGATAGAGCAGAATATAGACTCTAAATGGGAGGTCAAAATAGATACATACATAAACTTTAAAAAGGACATGAAGATAGAGAATGATTTAGATTTTAAAATGATCAGGATTGAAAAGGATGTCGATTCTAATGGAGGAATTAGGATATGGCTTATAATGGATTCTAATAGGGGGATTCAGATAAAACAGAATATAGATTCTAAATGGGAGATCAAAATAGAGGCACAAATACATTTTATAATGGACATAACGAAAGAGAAGGATACAGTTTTTGACAAGGTTGTGGATTCTAATGCAGAAATTAAGATACAGCTGAATATGGATTCTGATGGGGAGATTAAGACAGAACAGAATATAGATTCTAAACAGGGGATCAAAATAGAAATGTTAATAGATTCTAAAAGGGACATAAAGATAGAGAAGGATATAGATTCTAAAATGATCAGGATTGACAAGGATGTGGATTCTAACAGAGAAATTATGATACGACTGAATATGGATTCTAACAGGAAGTTCAAGATAGAGCAGATTATAGATTCTAAATGGGAGAACAAAATAGATTTATTTATAAACTTTGAAAAGGACATAAAAATAGAGAAGGATATAGATTCTAAAAAGATCAGGATTGTCAAAGGTGTGAATTCTAATAGAGAAATTACGATACAGCTCATAATGGATTCTAATAGGTGGTTTCAAATCTAATAGAATATGGATTCTAAATGGGAGATCGAAAAGAAAATGATGTAGATTCTAAAATGGAAATAAAGATAGAGAAGGACATAGATTCTAAATGAGTGATCAAAATGGGGATAAATGTGTAGATTTTAAAAGTAAGATAATGATAAAGAAGAAGATAGATTCTAAAAAGATCAGCATTGACAAAACGGTGGATTCTAATGGAGGAATTAAGATAGGGCTGAATATGGATTCTAATGGGGGATTAAGATAGAAAAGAATATAAATTATAAATGAGACAAATTATAAAATAGAGGTATATCTAAGTTTTAAAAGGGACATGAAGAGAGAAATTCTAAAAAGTTCAGGTTTGACAAGGATATAGATTATAAAAAATAGATCGGGATTGAGAAGTGAAAGTGCAGGATTGGGAACTGAAAGTGTAGAATTTGGCTTTTGTGTGTCTGTTAGGACAGCAGTTATTGGTGAAACATACAACAGTGGTAAGACAACTACAACCTTACCTGAAAGCCCAAATTATACAAGAAGCTCATCTCAATCTTTACAAATAACAATGGGATGCTAGGTCGAAGTAATCTGCTAAATCCCATATTCTAAACAAATGAACAGTAAGGTGGGAGGGGATGTATTTTTAATCCTAGGCATTCCAAAAGCATAAACTATAGCACAGGATCACCTCATTAAGAAACAGAGACAGCTCTAAACAATATCCATTCACCTCTGTAAATCTTTTATGCAAAATAAACATAAAATCTTGCTGTCTCTGGAAAATGTCTTTGTGATCCAATTTTTTTATTCATTTGTGGGATGTGGACATTGCGGGCAGGCCAGCATTTATTGCCCATCCCTAATTGCTCTTGAGAAGGTGGCAGTGAACTACCTTGAACTGTTGCAGTCCACTTGCTGTGGGTCAACTCACTAGGGAGGGAGTTCTGAGATTTTGACCCAGTGACAGTAAAGGAATGCCAATATATTCCCAAGTCAGGATGGCTTAGAGGGGAACTTGCAGGTGGTGGTGTTCCTATTTATCTGCTGCCCTTGTCCTCCTCGATGGAAGTGGTCATCTGTTTGGAAGGTATTATCTGGGGACCTTTGGTCAATTTCTGCTGTACATCTTGCACTGCTGCTTCTGAGCATCGGTGGTAGACGGAGTGGATGTTTGTGGATGTGATGCCTGTCAAGCGGGCTGCATTGTCTTGGACGGTGTCAAGTTTTTTGAGTGTTGTTTGAGCTGCACACATCCAGACTAGTGGGGATTATTCCATCAAGCTCCTGACTTGTGCCTTGTAGATGATGGACAGGCTTTGGGCAGTCAGGAGATGAGTTACTCACCACCGTATTCCTAGCCTCTGACCTGCTGATGTAGCCACTGTGTTTATGTAGTGAGTCCAGTTGAGTTTCTAGTCAATGGTAACCCCAAAGACATTTTTAGTGGGGGATTCAGTGATGGTAACACAATTGAATGTCAAGGGGCATTAGTTAGATTTTCTTTTATTGGTGATGATCATTACCTGGCATTTGTGTGGCGCAAATATTACTTGCTACTTGTCAGCCCAAACCTGGATATTGTCCAGAACTTGTTGCATTTGAACATGGACTGTTTCAGTATCTGAGGAGTCATGAATGGTGCTGAACATTGTGCAATCATCAGCGAACATCCCCACTTTGACTTTATGATGGAGGGAAGGTCATTGATGAAGCAGCTGGAGATGGTTGGGCCTAGGTCACTACCTTGAGGACATCCTGCAGAGACATCCTGGAGCTGAAATGACTGACCTCCAACAACCACAACCATCTTCCTATATGCCAGGTATGACTCTAACCAGTGGAAAGTTTGTCCCCAGATTCTCATTGATTCCAGTTTTGCTAGGGCTTCTTGACGCCGCACTCGGTTGAATGTGGCCTTGATGTTAAGGGCTGTCACCCTCACATCACCCCTGGAGTTCAGTTCTTTTGAATCAGGGTTAAATGAGGTCAGGAGCTGTATGGCCTGGTGGAGCCCAAACTGGGCGTCACTGAGCAGGCGCTGCTTGATAGCACTCTTGATGATACCTTCCATTACTTTACTGATGATTGGGAGTACACTTAAGGGGCTGTAATTGGCCAGGTTGGATTTGTCCTGGCTTTTTGTGTATAGGACAAATAATTTTCCACATTGTCGGGTAGATGCCAGTGTTGTAACTGTACTGGAATAGCTTGGCTAGCAGAACAGCAAGTTCTGGAGCACAAGTCTTCAGTACTATTGCCAGAATGTTGTCAGGGCCCATAGCCTTTGCAGTATCCAGTGCCTCCACTGTATTACCAAAATATTATTGAAAAATAGCACAATTATCAGCCACTGGAGGCTATTGTGCTGTGGCCTTTGTCTATGTCATGCTGATAGTTGTTACTGATAATAAAGCGTATATAAAATGTGCTCATTTTGAACCTGGATGGATAAGTGCCTGGATTGCCCAGCATTGGCTACCCGCGTGCATGCAAAATAAAACCACTTGAACATTGCATCTGGACTCTGACTGGCAAAGTTTTACAATTGGCCTCGTTGGCAAGATACAAAGGACACTGGACACCAACAGGGAAAAAGGACAAATCACTGTGTGAATACACTTTTATTCGTAATAAATTCAACTCCTTCCTATCCAGGAAGTGTCAAGCAATAGATCAAGTGGTGGTCATGGTGGGGTGGAATTAAGGTTCTACAATATAGAATTGTATTACAGATTGTTATCATTTCATTTGGTGTTAATCCCAAGTAACGGGTTTGGCCCAGGAGGACCCAGGTAAGTACTATACCACTGATGACAACTATATCCCAAACATCTAATCCAGAGATATCACATAGCGAGGAGCTCCGATAGGGATCTGAGGGACCCCTGACACCACAT